TCCGGCTTCTTCCGAGGCTCTGTCCACGTTCTGCTCGTCCCAGTCAGCTTCATCTTCTGCCGAGGCGAAGGCTCGGGTGCCAAGAAAGCCATCGGAGCGGTCGGGGTTTCCGTCTTGCAAATTGGCGAGGTAGTATCGGAGGGTGAGGTTTTCGTAGAAGATGACATCACGTGCTGCTACTGTCTCTTTTGTCTCGACGTCGAAAATCTTCCATGCGTTGTAAAGTTTTCGATGCCCAGGTGTAGTCCCCACTGTGCGCGTTGGGAGAATCGGCCAGCTCGTGCAGATGGGGGCCGGCACTGTACCGTGCAGCCGAAGACTCTCAACATTTTTGTGCTGCCCAGTTTTCCTGTCCACAGCAGATGCGGTGATGCGTTGTTCGGGAGCGATGATGATGAGAGCAAGTTGTGCAGCATGACAGCGTGGTCCATTGCTTCGGGCCACTAGTGGTTGGGAAGGTGCATGCCATGTAGCAGCTTGCGCATGGTGTTCTGGAGTGTCCTGTTCATCCTTTCTGCTACGCCTTGCTGTTGATGGGCGTAGGGAAGGGAGATGAGTCGCTTGATTCCTCTCTCTGCCAAGTACTCCTTGAACCTCTGTGAGGTGTATTCTCCTCCCCCGTCTGACTGGAAGCTTTTTAGTTTGACGCCCGATTCTCGTTCTGCTACTGGAAGCCAGGCGACGAAGGCTTCGAAGGCCATGTCCTTGCTTGGAAGATTTAGATGCCAGACGTATCGAGTGGCTGCGTCGATGAAGGTGATGGTGTAATTGTACGCGTTTTGTCCAGGCTCGCGGTTGTACAGGATGTCGCTGTACACTTTCTCGAGTGGCGCGTAAGCTGGTGCGCTTGGGTTGTGGTGAGACGCGAACGGTTGATGCGGTAAGTCAGCTTCGGGACAGGTGAAGCATGTTCCACGAGCTCGCTGAAGTTCTCTGCCGTCAGTTAGGAGTAGAGAGTCTTTGTCGAGCACGCCTGCTCTTATCGTGTTGTTTAACACCGTGTTGCTTGGGTGTCCCATTCTTGTGTGCCAGGTTCCTTCGGTGGCACGATGTCCGGGTGAGCGCCGATACATGTCGGAGTTGGAATAGAAGCTGGCGGTGAAGTTGGCGCTTCGATGAACTTCTCGTGGTGCTGGGTGCAGTTGCTACGCGGGTGTCGGTGGTGTGTCGTCAACGAGGATCGATGCCGTTGAAGGACCAGCGATTGGTGTTGATGTTGCCGCTGTTGTCTCTGTTGTCTCTGCTGCTGCCGTTGTTGTCTCTGCTGCTACCGATGTTGTCTCTGCTGCTGTCGATGTTGTTTCTGCTGCTGCCGGATGTTGAATTGTCGCTAACGCTCTTGTTCTTTCTGCTTCAGGTATCGTGTGTGAATACCAGAAACCGCCGGGGCTGAAGTCTGGGTCAAGATCCGGTGGATGTGTCCAAGAGGTGAAGGTGACGATCCCGTCGCTGTCGGCGGTGCCGAGATCTGGAACGAAGTTGAGAACGAAAACATTGTTCTTCAAGACTGCCTTGCCGATGTAGAGACCTCCTCTCCCGTGGTACAATTTGAACTCCTGGGTGGTGCTGTCTGCTTCGAGGTGAATGCCTTTTGCCATCAACTGGCTGATGCTCAGTAAGTTGTAGCCGAGTCCCTCCGCGATTAATACTTTTGACATCTGTAGTAGAACGTTTGTCTCTCTTGACTGAAGTTGAACCACGCCTTGTCATCGTGTGCGCAGGTTCTGGTTGTTGGCGACGGTGATGACTACTTCGCGTTGGAGTTGGTATTCTTGCTGCACGAAGCGTCCTGAAGAGCACATGTGCTGTCCGCAGCAACTGTCCAAGAACCAGGTATCTTTCCCGGACGGCTCGCTTTGGGCAATGGCTGCGTATGTTGGATTCGATTGGAGTGACTCGCGGCGAGGTGTGGTGTTGTCGAGTTGCTCTTCCGGTGAGTAGTGCGGCGGTGACTCGGTGATGCAGGAATCGGTCAATTTTGCCATGCAGCTGACGATGTTTCTTGCTCCTTGTGCAGATTGTGTTGTTGAAGGTTGCGACTGACTCGTGGGGTTCGCCTGCGTCGATGCCACTTGGCTGCTTGAGGGTCGAAGCTGCCGTTGCGGTGGAGTTGACTGTTGTCGATTCGGGCAGTGTGTGCGTGGGTGCCCTGACGTCTTGCAGATGTGGCAGAACGGAGGTACAGGCTTTGGTTGTTGTCGGTTGTTGTTGTTGTTGTTGTTGTTGTAGCATCGCTGAGTGTGGAAAGCGAATTCCGGTGTTGACGTTTTTCTCTTGTGTCTTTCTTCTTGCAGGTCCATGTCTTGCTGTTCGGCATGAATTTCGGCGCAGAGTGCCGCTTCGGAAATCTTCCCGTGAGCTCGGAGAATAGCTGGAGTGGAGCGCCAATGAGGACCAAGTCCAGTGATGACGACCGTGACGAAAGCTTCTTCAGAGATTGAACCTCCGCATCGAAGGAGTTTGTCGCGTAGTTCGCGACAGCGGCTGATATACGCCATTCCCTTTTCGCCTTGTTTCATCTCGACTGTTGTCAGTTGCGCCATCAACCGACTCTGATTTACGCTGTCTGTTGCTTGATACAGGCTCTTCAAGTGGCTGTATGCGAGTTCGGCGGAGTTGCCGTATCCTCGGTAAGACCGTATATTCTGCTGCTGGTTCGGGGTGATGTTCCTCAGTAGAATCGTGTACGCCATCATTGACTGGTAGGTGTACAGTTGCTTCTCGTACTGTGTGCCGTTTGTTGGGTATGGCAGAGATCCGTCGAAGAAACCAAGAATCTGCGCGTCTTCCACATTAACTCGAACTCGAACGACCAGGTGAAGAAGTCTTTTCCGTCGAAAGGCCTTGACGTCTGAAGTTTTAAGACGTGCGCGAACTGCGACTGAACTTGAAGTGCGTCCAGTGGTTTCTCCTGTCCAGGTGTAGGCTGCGGTTGTGGCATAAAGCTGACGGAGCCGCGCTGGGGCTCGTACGGAGCAAAGGTAGGTTGCTGTTGTTGATTTCCACGTGCGTAGGATGATCCATCAAGGCTCATTGGAGTCACGTCGTTGTTGTTATTGCTATTGTGTGACTGCGCAGGTGCCGATTGCTGGTGTTGCTCGTAGAAGGACATGAAGGAGAAAAACTTCTCCATCATGCTCTGGTCGAAGCCTGCAGGTTGATTCGCGGGAGTCTCGGTGGATGTTGCCCTGGGTCTTGTTGCCGTACCCTCCTCTGTCTGTAGGCCAGAGGCAGGAGGTGGAGTAGGAGTAGTGCCGGGAGAACCAATAGAGGAACTCCTTTCCTTCTGAGTAGCCATGTCTTCTGATGTTGTAGGTGTCTTGATAGTTGAATTCCCCCTGATAGCTCTCATACCATGTTGGGCTGAGAAAATAGCCCTTAGGATCTTTGCAGGGGTGAATTCTGGGTAGAACTGATGTAGTAGCGGAAGCGTTTAATGAAGAGTTGTGAACCACCTTGCGCTAGTATGTGAGGGCAAAGTTGATTGATTAAAGCAAAGAGATACAGGATTATATAAGAGTACAAGGAATACGAAGAGATACAGTTATAACTAATTTACTGTTGCTGTTGTGGTTTGATGCAGTGACGACTCGGGCAACTGCTCTGTAGCGAGTCAGTTGTGTGTCCTTACTGTCGCGCTGTACTTGTCAGGTCAAAGGTCGCTGACCTTTGACTTTCGCGTAACCTCCAGCAGTTGCTCAACCTCCGAGGGTTGACTCGCTGGTGCTGCGATATGTTGTGCTTCGCTTGTGCCTTGGTGTTTCGACACGACAGAGGCACTTAGAATTAGTTGTTTCCAACAGAGCAAAGGAGCGAGGAGAGCAAGGAGAGCATGGGCAGCGGCAGCAGCGGCAGTGGCAGCAGCAGCAGCAGCGGCAGCGGCAGCAGCAGTAGCGGCAGCAGGAGCGGCAACGACAGCAGCGGCATCGGCGGCAGCGGCAGCGACAAATGGAAGCATGTCACTGCAATCTGGTGGAAGGAGGGAGAGGAAAACAGGGGCGGTGGTGCTGAGACAGGATAAAATATGGAAGTGGACGGAGGTGCAGAGACAGGAGCATCTGGGAAAGTGGGGCTATGTGATTGTGCATGAGGATGTGCGCATTCATTTGTGTGTCTGTATGACTCACCTGCAAGGCATGTGCATGTGTGCATGCATTGCATCGATTCTGCTAGGAGCAACCTGCTGCACAGCAGGAAAGTGTGAAATAACATGAGTGATGGAGCATCAGCAGCAGCAGCAGCAGCAACAGCAGCAGCAGCAGCAGCGGCACCGGCAAAAAGGGAGAGGATGGAAGGAGAGTAAGAAAGGTAGAGGGTTCCTGAGTGGATGGGAACGAGAGCACGCATGCAGCAGTAGAGTGGTCTGTCGGATTACGGGTAACCTAGCTCGTTTCAGTTGACCTGCTTACTCCGTGGAAGATCAGAGTGCAAGTGAATTAGAAGAAGGGAGCATGTGGTGTGGACGGAAAAGGGAATCAGTAATACCGGTATTACTGATTCGATTGGTTCAGTAATAGGTACATGTGTTTCTCTATGAGTTTGTGTGCATGGTGTGCAAGGGCGAGGGTTGTTGGAGGCCACTGACCTTGACCTTATGACAGTAATGACCTGTGCCGTATTACATACCGGTAACATCAAACATTGTTTACTGTTAAGCTAGTTAGTGATTGTTATAAAGAGATTGGTTCATTCCAGTGGTATAGGGGGTGGCGCTTTATACCGTAATAAGTTGCTTACACTTGGCATTACAAGGACATCGTACAACAAGAATGCAGATGCACCATCCTTAAGCAACAGGGCACGAGGTGTAGATGCAGCAAGCACTACAGGAAGATTGAAGGCAAAACAGAGGAAACATGGCAGTTTCACCTCTTTCAGAGAGGAGGAAGCAGTAGACCCCCTACACTTATTCACAGCCACTAACGCGGCTTCTCTCCACATATTTTATGGTGTGGCTGGCACCACCCTGTGAGGAACAGAGCAGTCCTGACAGAGTTCGTTCAGAGAGTGTAACGCAGCGTGCCTTCAGCAGTGTCCCCCGCTTCTGACTCCACAGTCAGCTTAAACACCGAATCCACTGCCGAGCCTGGCAGGGCCGCTGCACGCATGCTGGAAGCAGCCGCGTAAGCAGCGTTTGCAGTGCCAGCAGCACCCGACACGCTCGGGAAGTTGTCGAGCCACTCGCACAGCCACACGCCGGGGCGGGGCTGGGACCACGCGCAAGGCAGGGAAAGGTCGGTGGTGTCAGCAGTAGCCGGGTCGGTGACAGAGATTGTTGCTGACGGCTTTGGGGCGTCTGGGGAGACCACCACGATGCTCACGTCGAGCTTGCACTTGCGGTTGCTGCGAGGGAGAAGGGAGAGGGAGGAGGGAGAAATGAGGCAGTGGGGTTAAGATCTGTCTGCGCAGACAGTGATATCCTAGGAAGTGGGTAATTTAGTCTTATTATATTGCTGTGAAAGAAAGTTTGGCATGCACGAACCAGGATTGAGACATTTGTGGTGCAGCTAGCAGGGACTCACATGTTAGAGACGGCAAACATGGCTCCTCCTTTGAGCTTCTCGCTGTTAATTGCTGCCTGGAACCTTCCAGCGGCAACCCCAGCCAGCAGATCGGTTTTACCTGCAGCAACATCGAGCTCAAAAGAGTTAGATAATTGCTCATCTTAAAAATCATTTTATGGGAGCGAAAGAGGTGAACTGGGCAATCTCGGGTTGTCAGTCAAGACACACGACTGCTCCGCACAACAATCAAGAAAACAGAAGTACACAAACTGGGTCACCAGGGCGGAGCGGAGCCAAGCAACGTACCGAACACTTGCTCCATTTTCGAATTCGCCTTGGCTACCGCGAGGTTGGCATTGGAGTCGACCATGAGCCCCATGTTGCGTGCGTCTGTGTATGTAAGACTCAACGCATACGAATTCACGCGAACCCCCACGCCAGCCGTGAATCCGATGTTGTTGATGTCGGCCTGAGTCAGTTTGGTCTGGCCGAAGCAGTCCCACACGCTTGGCGCGACTTGCGAGCACTGCATGTTCTTTCCGAGCGAGCCCAGCACGACAGGAGATCTCGCGTTCAGGGTCACTTCTTGCGGCGGATAGGGCGAGCCTGCAGCGGTCAGGCGGAACTGCGACGGCTTGGTCGCGGATCTGGCAAGGTTGGGAAGGAATTACCAAAAAAAAAACAAACAAAAAAAACGGGAATTTAATTGTTGAACATGACACCCCTCAGTGATCACGCGGAACTGCAAGGTTGTGCGGGAAAAGGGGGGAGGAGCAGGGAGACCAAGGGGACAGGGGGTTAGGGAGAGGGGGAAGAAATTGGGGAATAGGAGGGTAGGGAGGGCGGAAAACGTATCTCCACTCGTGGGTCGTTCTGTCGCCGTCCCTGCCGTCAGTGATCGCGCGCACGGCTCAGTGCTCCCACAACCATACTACTGCATGCGACAAGCCATATGCTATGCTCACGGCACGAAATTCCCGACCCCAAATCAGACGCTAAATTTTCCCCAACTCTGAATCCCGGGTTTAGGATCCTAGATTTCTTACTTGGAGGGGACAGCGATGCTGAACGTCCCTGCCACGGTCTGATCCGAAAAGTCCGCACTGTAGAACTCTGCATTGGCGATCATCCAACGTGGCAATGAGAAGGGGAGGAGGCGAGATGATGGAGAGACATCTCGAGTCATGGAATACGATAACCGACACAAAACGCGACAGATAATGTATAAGGATTTATCACGAGAAATTACCACAAAATTCAAACTCAAGCAAGCCGGGAGAAGGATTACAACTTAAGCAAGCCGGGAGAACAGGGTGCAGAGCAAAGGAGCGAGAAGAGCGATAGGGAAGGGATGGAGGCACTGACTGGCGGCGGGCGTGGGCGGCGGGAAAAGCATGGTGAGGACGGCCTTCACAAACGCGAGGCCCGCCTTTGCGGCGCGCTGCTTGGCCGCCTCGCTCAACGCCTCTGCACCGGGAAGTGACGACGAGAGCAGCACGCCTGCAGCGGACCAAAAAAGAAAGTTGTCAGAACGATGAAAACAGTAAAAGCAAGTTAAAAGTGCGTGGCGATGGGAATAGAAAATTATATAAGCCTGTATAACAGCCCAGCGATCGAGGAGAGACGCATGAGTTGATGAGAAGTCATACCGGCGATGATGAGGAGACACGTGAGAACACGGGGAAGAGCCATCGCGGGTGTTTCTGTTGTGTCGCTGAGAAGCCCTAGACAGCAATACCACTGATGTGAAAGGAACTCGCGGTTGCAACAGAGTTTGCGGTCTTAAGAGAAGAAGGAGCTCTTTGAAAGGAATGTTTAGGGAAGAGAAAGGCTGTTGATGAGAAAAGGATGTGGCTCTGATGGTGGTAATAAACGATTTACGGATGAGAAGGCTTGCGTCCAAGGGTGGAAGTGAACACGCAGCGCTCAGCTGCTTTGTGTGAGGTAAGCGCGAAACCCGGACCGTCATTGTCGGTCCGTCAACCATTTGGCCAGGGGTCCAGCGATAATGCAAACGTCCGCGTTCCATTGGAGAAGTGAAATAATAGAGGCTTCATGCGTTCCGTTATTCACGGAACGAAGCAAGAGACGTTCGCGTCTCAGCTGCGCCGATGGAACCTAGTTGGCAGGAAATAGGCTGAGCTATGTACGCGTTCCTGAATGGTGAAAGCTAGGAAGAAAACTGGGAAACTGATTGACTGGCTGGCTGGTTGAGATGTATGAGGCGAAGGGGTGCTTCATGGCGCAGGACGGTTTCACACGGTGGAAAACTGTTTTGAGTTTTACCGTGTGGCTGGGTGGTTGTGACCGTTTGAAGGCGATGGGGAGAGGAGAGGAGGAAGAACAATAAAAGCTGACGGAAATCAGCACACCAATAATTCCGTTCCTCATCTGACAGAGCCGTCAGACTCCGTCAGCTGCGGGCTGTTGCTGGTCGCGGTTCACTGAATCCTAAAATGAACGGGGCTGACCGTGAAGGAGGATGGTTGAAAGGGAGCTGTTTGTTGGGTTTGTGTCGCTGAAACGGGTTTTTCGTTGGTGTCTGAACGAGTCAGCGACTTCTGACGAAATCCTTCGCAAGTGGGGGTGCCACAGAGGGTGGTGGTAATTCAGGATGTCAACTTTCGCACGTAAGGTTTCTGCCCCGTGTCATGGAAATATTTGGTACTGCATTATTGCTGCCCAACAAGGGCGGGCAGATTTTCAAGATGAGCTCGCCCAATCACTTCATCGGAAGCAAAAACTTATTTCTGCCAACCAAACACACCAATGCGATTTTCAAATAGCGCGCTTCGGACACCCAATAATGCAGTGCCTGATTCTAACCTCCAATCCCATCGCCCCACCCGATCCATTCCTTCCTCCGCCCACCTCTATCCATCGTTATCTCTCTGCAACGCATATTAATCCCTTGTAAGCCTCCGTAAATTCCTCAGCCAAGCTTATCCGCCTCTACCCCATCCTTCTTCCCAAGCAGACGACTCCACACAGTACATAACATACTTCACAACATTCATCAGTTCACATCGTGCTTTTCACCTCTCGAGCAGCAATCCCGCTTGCACTTCTGCTCATTCTCGCTCCTACCCAGTTTTCTTCCAGACCAGACCGAGCTTCTTCTGCTAATTCTTTCTACCTCCATTGTCCGTTCACGGCATTTCACTCAAACGTGTCGTCATGGCCCGCCTCGCAATTCCGCATTGGCTCGTATCCTGCCTTATGTGCCTTCCTGGTAAGAATCTTCAAGGCGCAAAATTCAGATGGCCCGTTCATTACAGCTACCCTCATCTTTGAAAGAAATCGAAGCCTTTGCGGTTGTATTTTACATCGATTTACGCTGAAAACAAAAAATCATACACGATACACTTGATTTTCGCCGCAGGACTCGTGCTTCTCCTCTGCGCGGCGCCTGTCACCGTGACTTCAGCGGCGTTCGAGGTCGCGGACGCGGATATCAAGAAATTCGTTCCAGCAACCTCTTCGAAATCATGTAAGTCCATACGCGTCACCGCTTTGACCCAGCGTCACGCTCAGTTTGTGTTACCATTCTGAGACTAGAGCGGTCTCAGCGGCTAACCCCTCGTTCTCCCGTTCCCACTCCATATCTTTGCAGCATTCTACAGTGCTCTGGTGGTGTCGTCATACGAATCGCAGGGGACCGTGATCGTGCGTATGCCTGCCGAGTAAGTCCGGCCTTCCAAAAGTCTCCCCGTGCCGTCGCATTCCTTCATTCCTCCATATCACGAAGATTCTCCAACCCAGCCGGCTGATAAACCGCCGTTTCTGCTGACTTCTGAAACCTCCGTGTTATTCATACTCCCCCCTTCCTCCCTCTCCCCGTCCGTTCCTCGCGCTCCCATCACCCCAGCACGGGCCTATTCCCGGTGGTTCTCCGGGTGGTCATGGCGGGAACCGTCGAACCGCCAACGGACGTCTTACTCGATGGCACGTCTCTGGCGTCGGACGCCAGTCAATGGAAACTGGTGGCTCCGGGTGTATGGGACCTGACTAGGAGTCTCGACTGGGGGGCCATTGCTCTAGGAAGCGCCTTGATTGGTGTCGGGGCCGAAGTGTCGCACGCGGATGTGAACGGCAACGCGATTACCGCGTCAGGATCGCTAGCGAAGATCGGATCTCTCGATACTGGTACGGACGCTCTAGTTATGAATCCAGCAAAGCAGATTGTGTTCTTCTTCCATCCATTCGTTATGATTACTCGTGACAGAACAAGTTATACTGCGTTGCGGCGGACTCTGTGAATTGCACCCTTCCCATTGCAATCCCCCTGATGCACCCCTCCTCGTGCATCCCCCCCCCATTCCGCCTTTTCCCGTTGTGACTCTCCCAATGCGCCCATCCGCCCCTCCCATGTGCCAGGCCTCTCAGTGCTGCCATCCATGTCAGGCGGCCGATTCCAAGCCATGTTCTCGGGGGCCGTGGCTGGGGGAGCCAAGATCCGCATCGCCACCAGCACGTGAGTTTCTAATTTCGGAACATCTATTGCGATGAGAGTGGTAACGGCGAAAGCCAATCCAGAGAGGCTGCATTCGAGGGGTTTGGGATTGTGAAGCTGGTCAGGGAGGAAACCTAGTATGACAAATTTCCGAGAATATAAAACTACAAGCAAGCAAATCGACTTATATTTGCTCTACTTGTTGTGTCCTCTGCTGCCCCCCCTTCTCTCTGTCCCCCCTCTCTGCCCCCCCTCTTTGCCCCTCCCCTCTATCCCCCCGCCATATAGCGACACCAAGGTCAGCCTGGAAGAGCACCTGGCCCTCATCAGAGGCGTGAAACTAAACTCAGCTTGTGCTCTTCCCTTCACCTGCTTTACCTCTTGTGTCCTGCTGCCCCCCCTCTGCTGCACCCCCTATCTGCACCTCCTCTGCCCACTCTCTCTGTCCCCCCTCTTTCCTGCACCCTCTCTCTGCCCCTTCTCTCTGCCCGTCAAGCAGCGACACCAAGGTTACTCTCGAGGTGCACCTGGCCTTCACCAAGGGCGTAAACACCAACTCAAAGGTCTCTCTGGTGGGTCAGGTCGGAGCCGACAAGTCTGCCCCTCTCACCCTAGCATGCCCCTTCACATCGAACATCAAGGGAGTGTTCACTTGCTCCAAGTATGTCGACGTGAAAATCCCCGCGGGAGCTGCTACCACGGCCGGCGTCTTGGGACTGCAGAAGTTTATGGCTGCTCTGGTGGGAGCTACCATGTCAGGTGATCACCTGGCGGCAACCTTCACCCTGATAGTGAATGGGCAGCAAGAGACCCTTTACTACGGTTTGTAGTTCTATCTTATCATTCCCGTGGAGTTCTTGCTTGTGAAGTACCGTCATGGGGGTGATGTGAGAGGAATTGTGATGTAACTGCATATCGTGGATTGC